TCGAGCCTCGAGTTTTTAAACTGGTCTTCCTCCAAGACTGCCCAAAGTTTAGCTCCATTATCATCAAGCATCTGAATAGCTGTCCTGCTACGAAGGAGCCATCCCACAGCATGATGCTGCCACCAATATGAGTTAGCGTTTAGCTAAAGGCTCAGCAAGGTTCAACAGCTCAATCCTTAATGGTCCATCACATTTTTATCATAGCTGCTTCTTGATTTTCTGAGCTGATTGGTGGATTTCTCCAAAGTAAACATGGTCCTGGGGGCTGACACTCTGATTAATGTTCTCATTCTCAGGTCTTTGAGTTATTTTTCACAATCTAAATATGTACCCAAATTTTTCCAAATTTGATTTGTAAACATTTTGAATAATGTGCAATTTTCCTTCCATTTCATGTGGCTCTTTTTGTGGGTCAGTCAGATAAAATCCCTATAAATAAACACTTAAGATTGAAGCTGTTGAAATACATTTGAAGTTATGAAAATACTTTTGCATTCAATAAATATTAATACTTTAAGTGGAGGAAAACTTAGACTGAATATCCAACAATCACTGCTCACTCTCTGTGGATAGTAGTCCTGTTTCTACTTATTTAATCCTTTCTGGTAGGACATAAACTAATAAATCAACAAGGAGAATAACATTTCTGTAAAAGAAGCTGGTCCAGGTTAATACTGTGTTTGCTTTATTGAACCAAGCAACGATCGGCAGCAAAATCAGCTGCTGTTTTCCAGGCTGCTGAAACTTAAACAGATTGCTGAGGGATGAACAGCAGATCAAGGCTGCTTATTAGGCTAAAAACTGTTAGTTGATTTTACTCACAAGGCTATAAAATGATCAAATAATTATTATGATATTGGGAAATTGAAAAAATTGAAACAACAGGAAATGCACACAAAAATATATTCAATTATAATAATTTTATAGTTTTACTTTCCAAAAAATTATTAAATAACATATTTGAAAATAAAATTTAATTAATTTGGTTTAAGCCAGAAATAATTAAAAAATATATTTTTTTATTCATTATAAAAATATATATACTTTTATCAATAATGAAAATATTTACATATTCAATTGCTTATTTTTAACATCAACAAGACTTTCAAAAACATGCTGATATATTTTTAATTTTTATCACTAATTTATAGCCATTCTATTCAAATATCACAGAAAAAATTGGAATTTAATTTATTAATTAGTTCTTTCCTCCATATATGAATTTGATGAATCTATTCTATATTGTCTTTATTTTTTGTTTTCCATTTGTCTAACATGTACCGATTATGATTTACATCAAAAATGCATATTTGTGCTTTGATTTAATTCCAGCTTTTCATCTTCTCTTGTTTACACTTGCTATGAATTATACAAAAGATCACCTCGAAAGAAGGATCTTTGTTATTTATCAAAGTTATTGAAAGGACAGCCTGGGAAGCTAAGATGCTGACAGCATGGTCGAAGATGCAGCAGGAATTAATGACATAAAGGCAACAGTTGGTCTATATGTATTTAAAAAGTTCCTCTTTCCTCCATATTTCCAAAGTGGTCTGCAAAATAAAAAAAAAAAAAAAA